CTGGAATCCCCTGATTCTAGAATTCCATGTTCTAGAATTCCATTCTATAATTCCCTGATTCTATAATCCCATGATTCTATAATTCTGTGATTCTGGAATTCCAAGATCCTAAAATTCCAGGATTCTCTAAATGAGGACATGACCAGCACCCCAAGGAGCAGAAAATGCAACGACCTCGAGGGTCACACACGGATTAAACGAGGCAACAGCTCACAGTCCTTGGTTGGATGGAGACCTAAAAAATCCATCCCAGCCCGATTCTGATTCCAGGCTTGGACATTTATCCCAGCTCAGCCTAAAGAAAGAGAAATGATGAGGATGGAGAGCTGAGAACCCTCCCACGGCCTCTGTCCGAGCAGCCCCAGGCTCACAAATGAGGTGAGCACCAACAAACTGACAGAAATTTGGGAGATATCGGAGAAATGTTTCCTGAAAAGCCTGAATTATCGGGAAATTAGATTTTAGCTTAAGAGTCAATTCTCAGCGCTCAAAAGGCAGCTCGGTGCTAAAACCGCCCTGGTGGTTTGCAGACACAGCCAAAAAAAAGTGATTTTTGCTGGAGATGCGTGAAGAGAGGAGAGATTTGGGCAGGGAAAGTTCAGGTAATGGGGATAATTAAACCCCGCAGGCAGCGCTTGGCCTGAACACGAGGGTATATCCGTGTCATCCCAGCTTTTCAGAGCAGATCCAGCGCCTTTTAMCCATGAATCAGCAGAATTGCCACATGACTGGCCCGAAATTAGCCGGGATTAACCTTCCCGGGCCAGCCCAACATCTGTCCCCTCCCGCGGCCGGGCAAGGCACGCTCGCTGCTCCCGCGGCTCATGTTACCAGACATTCTTGGGGGAAAAAAACCAAAAAAACCCTCAACTCCAGGATCCCCCCGTGCAGCCCCGAGGTGTGGGAAAAGCAAGGCTTTACTGGGATAGAACGCGCCTCGGAAGAGCCGAGTGGAACTTTAAATGATTCCTCAAAATGGGGATTTTTGTGTCAAAAAAAAAAATTTAAAAAAAAGGAGAAATAATTATAAAAAATAAAAATCACGCAAGGAACCCCTCCTCGCTCCCCGCTCTTGCTGACGTGCCTGAAGGGAGGAAGATTTGGTAATTCCTCCCGTGGCCGGCTCGTAACCTCCCCGCAGCACGAGCCAGCCCCGTAATTAACTTTCCACAGGTCCCAATTAAACTCCGCTCTCATTGTTTTAAACGCGCCGCGAGCAGGGGGACCCCGCGTTTCTACGGCAACYCCATACAAAAAGCGAAAATTCGAGCGAACACCGTAAAGCCTGGAGGATCTAAAATCTACCAACCAGCCCCGAATTCGAGCCTCGGTATCTTCGCGGCGCAGGAAAAGGCAGATTTTTAATTCCCATTGTTCCACACAATGTCTCCAAGTTATCTGAGCCGCAAAGTCGAGACATCCAAGGGCTGCCTCGCCAGCGAATTTTTTTTTTTTTTTCCCTTCCTCCATTGTGAAAGGAACTTTGTTAAATGTCACGGATGTATTTTTTCAAGTCCCAGCTGAGCGATAGCGATCGGTTTAGTGACAATAAAAGCGAGCAGGGGACAGTTTCTAGGTTACTGCATTCTTCAAAGTCGCTCTCCCCCCCTCTGTTTGAACGGACAGATGTTCGGAGGAACAATGCTCCGGTCCCAAAGCCGAGGATTTTCTCCACTTCCTAAAAAGCAAGGATTTAATAACGATTGGGGAAGGGAGAGGGAAATGTGCGAGCAGGGAAATAAAAAATGATAAAAAGTGCGCGGAACTCGTGGAGGAGGAGGCGGGGGAGGAGGGGAGGGAGCCGGGATCGCATCCTCGCAGCGATTCCTGCCCCAAATCCCACGGGAGATTCCTGCTCAGCGCTGCACCAGCCGGCTCCTGGAAAGAACATTC